AGATACATAGATTCAACAATCTTTGGTCTCCCCAGTCTTAAATGTTACATCCTTGCAGCTAAAATGGTAACTTGCATGAAAACTGAACTTTCCTCACTGCTCCCACAGCAACTCAAACCCACACTCAGCTGGAGCAAGTTCACTCAGCTAATCCTGGTGTTTTATGCTCATTGTGAGCTGGAGTGTTGACCTGCGCGAACATACCGGGACCAAACCCTTTGTTTGCCCTGCTTTCACCCAAAACACTGCACTGCACTTGCCAGTGAATGGGCTCACAGCAGCCATGTGGCACTTCTATAGTTATGTGCTGAGCTGGCGACCCTGTGGTCTGTCCCGCGCGCCCTTCAGAACGTACTTCACGCGCACGGCACGCGGCAGCCGGTATAAAACCCAAGCGCCAGGTTCTCTCAAAGCTCCACGCGAAACTGGCGTGCCACACTCGAGCTCAGTGACTAAAACGGTAAGATCCCAAATTACATCTCACGGAGCTCATGGCACAATTATAAAATTAGTATGGTCTACTTTACAAACATCTTCTCAGTATGGCCACATTGTGCGAATGGTTTTGATTTATTTAAATCTAACAATTGTGTTTACATTTTATTACTAAAATAGCTATTTTGTTAATAAAACAACGAATTCGAATCTAATACATCGATTATTGTATGTTTTAAGTAACTTTAAATCTGTAATAAGCTAATGATAAAGAACACAGTTTACATATAATAGCCTACGTTGTCTTGTTCATTACTATAAACATATGAGTGTTAGCTATTTATTTGACTTCATTTTACAGTCTGCATCTAATATCATTGGTATTTATTATGGTTTTATTTATTTATTTATTATTATTATTTTTTAGATATAAAGATGTATAGGTTCAATCGATCCACCATGATGCAGCCCATGATCAACTATGGCATGGGAATGGCTCCTTTCTTCAAGGTAAACTGCCATTAACACACACACACACACACACACACACACACACACACGCACACTTTTAGTCCCTTTTGAAATACCCAGGACTTTAATATAAAAAAAAAAGAAAGTTATTATACTAATGCATCTAATAGATCAATAGAATATGGTATGAGGAATTTTTGCACGTATATTATAGGAAAACACTTAAAAAAATCACACCACAAACTTAACCTTTGTGCTTTTGTTCTGCTAGGTGACTGTGTTTGAGCAGGAACACTTCCAGGGAAAATGTCAGGAGTTCACCTCAGAATGCTGCAACATCCAGGAGTGTGGCTTTGACAACATCCGTTCTATTCGCGTTGAGAGTGGCTCGTAAGTTACAGCGTTTGTTAACTGAATACAGTATGCACTAGGGAGTTTTCATCTAACTGTATGCCCATGTTTGACTGGATGTTCTCTCTTTCCATAGCTGGGTGGGTTATGAGCACCACGACTTCCAGGGACAGCAGTTCATCCTGGAGAGAGGAGAATATCCTCACTGGGATGCCTACAGTGGAAACCTGTCATACCACGTGGAGAGACTCATGTCTTTTAGACCTGTCTACTGTGCTGTGAGTTATTCCCTCCCTTTTATATGCTAGAAATCTTAAAGGCATATAGTATTTTGTGCTGGCTAATATGTAATATTTATTCAGCAAGTGTCCATAACAGGATTTATTGAAATAAAGCAAGTTGCATTGGACTGGTCATGTGATCTCAACTTGGCAGCCTCAATAGGTCAACTAGTTGAGATTGGCTATATTGCTTTATGCAAGCATACTGTATGTATTCAGGTAAAGTTGAATGTACTTATTGGATATACTGGTATGACTGGAGTCTTCCTCTCAAGTGATTATACATAATTTTAACATATTGCTTCAAAAATATTATTTATGTATTCACTATTTATTTTAGTACTATTTATTAATCTCTTAACCTTTTTTAATTAGTTAAAAAAAATAATGACTGTACCTTTAAATATTGTGTATGTCTATTTAGCTTTATTTTTATTTCAGTTCTAGTTTTAGTAGTTTTTAGTAATTTAACAAGGCAATATTTCAGATTTTTCATTAAGTGTTTTTTGTTTGTTTATATTTTCTTTTATTTCAGCTTTAATTTAATTAACAGAGACATTTTTAATAGTTTTAGTTAACAACAACAGCACTGATATAATCACTTGAATATGTGGATATGTGGGGTCAATCTCTCTCTCTCGTCTCCCCTCAGTCTCACCAGAGCAGTCGCATGACCATTTTCGAGAGGGAGAACTTCCTGGGCCGCTGTGTGGAGCTGTGTGACGACTACCCCTCTCTGCAGGCCATGGGATGGTGTGGTCCTGAAGTGGGCTCCATGCATGTGCAATGCGGCGCGTGAGTCTCTTCTCTGTATTTTCCCATTATTTCTTTTGTTTCAACACAATCAACAGCACACCTGAAAAAACGATAGGTGCGTAGGAAAAAAAGGTCCAACAAAACTGTCAAGTCCAAAATATAAAAAGATGCAATCCCGCACACTATCAATCCTTGCAAAATATTGAAGTTTATTTACAAAAGCAACGTTTCGGTCCAAACGTTGCTTTTGTAAATAAACTTCAATATTTAGCAAGGATTGATAGTGTGTGGGATTGCATCTTTTTATATTTCTTTTCAACACAGTAATACCTGACCCTCATTTCTCCATCTCTGTGTGTAGTTTTGTGTGTTACGAGTTCCCAGGATACAGGGGAAGGCAGTACATCATGGAGTGTGAGAGGCACAGCGGAGACTTTCAGCACTGGAGAAACTGGGGTTCCCACAGCCAGACCCCTCAGATCCAGTCCATCCGCAGAATCCAGCACTAAGAGCTCAGGCTCACCGGGGGACACTTCACCGATCACCCTGCCGCCTGACAAACACACTTTACACATACACACGCTCACACTGTTTTTCCTAACGAGTGTCTTTTTATTGCTAGGAACACACACATCTACGCGGCACACATACCATCATGTTTTACACAAGGGTGCCAATCACATTTCTGACTATGACTAATGTCAGGTGCGAAACAACACCCTCTGGAGGTGCTCCACACAACCAATGCAAACCAAAGCTAAGTTAGGCCATATCCCTGGAGGGGGACTGGCTGAGAGCAGCTCAGGTGTAATGTGTAGGAGGATGACAAAAACATCACAGACAAATAAATGCTTAATAAATAAACTTGTGTTCACTTCAGTGACTCAGTTCTGTGCAATTATTGTGTGTGAGTTACACAAAGTACATACATTTCATTATAACCAATCCATAAGGCAAGGCAAGTTTATTTATATAGCACATTTCGTACACAATGGTAATTCAAAGTGCTTTACATAAAAGAAAGTAAAATAATCATAAAAAATAATCACAAAAATAAAACAAGGAATTTAAAAACTTTGAAAATTATTTAAAAATTGATTTAAAATGAATTTAAGACAGTTAAAAATAGAAAATGATTATACATAAAATACAGAGTTAAGCACCCTTTTGAAAAAATATGTGGGAAGTGTGTCAAGATAGCAGGTTGACGATGTAAGGTGCTGCACTATTTCTTCCAAAATGTTGCTATCAATTGCTTCAAAAACAGACGTAGTATCTTCTTTTTAATATTGCGGTCGAATCTGTCTGACCGCTGCATAACTTGAGGATGTGCTAATCGCCTTCCTGATATTAATGATCTTCTCAGAAAAGAAGGAAGCAAACTCATTGCATTTGCTGTCAGAGAGCATTTCACTGA